GGAATCCTGCTGCTTCTCCCCGCCCTCCAACCAGCTAAGAGGAGAAAGGGGGCTGAGGAGGAGACTTTTTAAATAAGCACCTGTCTCCTGGCTGTTGCTTACTACAGTTGCCTGCCACCTCAGGAGGAGAAGGAGGAAATCCTGCTGCTACTCTCCCAGCTCCCAGGCCAGCTAAGAGGAGGAAGGGAACTGAGGAAGAGACTTTAAAAACACATGTCTCCCGGCTGTTGCTTACTACATCTGCCTGCCACCTCAGGAAGAGAAGGAGGAAATCCTGCTGCTACTCTCCCCCTCCCAAGCCAGCTAAGAGGAGGAAGGGGACTGAGGAAGAGACTTAAAAAACACCTGTCTCCTGGCTGTTGCTTACTACATCTGCCTGCCACCTCAGGAGGAGAAGGAGGAGTCCTGCTCCTTCTCCACCGCCCCCCAAGCTGGATAAGAGGAGAAAGGGAACTGAGGAGGAGACTTTAAAAACACCTGTTTCCTGGCTGTTGCTTACTACATCTACCTGCCACCTCAGGAGGATTGAGGAAGTCGTAGGAGACGGAGGAAGTCATGCTGCTTCTCTCCCTTCCCCCAAGCAGGCTAAGAGGAGAAAGGGGACTGAGGAGGAGACTATAAAAACACCTGTCTCATGGCTGTTGCTTACTACATCTGCCTGCCACCTCAGGAGGAGAAAGGGGACTGAGGAAGAGACTTTAAAAACACCTCTCTCCTGGCTGTTGCTTACTACATCTGCCTGCCACCTCAGGAGGAGAAGGTGGAAGTCGTCCTGCTACTCCCCCCCCCCCCCGCCAACTAAGAGGAGAAAGGGGACTGAGGAGGAGACTTTAAAAACACCTCTTTCCTGACTGTTGCTTATTGCTTATTGTTTCTGTTGTGGTTTCATATAGTATTTCATGTTTTTATGTGCATTTTGATATTATGTGTATTGATTTGCTGCCTGTAAACCGCCTTGAGTCGCCGAAAGACTGAGAAAGGCAGTATACAAATACAGTAAATAAATAAACAAGCAAACATTGTCATATTAAGCATATTTTTGACTTGAAATGTGTGCGTACGAGGGGCACACAGCCGTTCGTTCCCTTCTACCTGACCAATTCTATGCTGCCAGAAAACACAAAGCATCAATCCCGAGCCTGAGAGTGAAGTGGGTCACTCCGAACCACCCACAGACTATGAATCATAACTCATTTACTATCCAAGGAAACAGACATTGCAAACAAGTTTGGAGTGGGTTTCACTTGTTGCACCCAAATGGTCTTGTATGCACTCACTGAGACTACATCGCGGAAATCTTTTTCCTCCTGTCTTTTAAAATATTCATGAACTTTCCTGTTGGTCTGAGGCCAGGAACTGGGAGCTTGCCATTCGTTTTTGCAAAGGGGAGGTCGCCAAATAATTTAGCTGGAAGGAGCTAGCCCTGAGTCACCCGAAGATTTCCGTATGACTAACACTGCGGTGTTACCAACTGTCTATTGAGTGAAAGTCAGGGGAAATTATATCTGTTGTTGATAACGCACGTCCTCTAAAGCGTAGGATAATTCATTACCGAGCCTTTTAAATGCACATCCTTCTCTACCACTCTTTTCCTGTGCGATGTAAGAGATTTATTTGTGGCAAAATGTCTGGCATTCCAGATGTTGTTGGGCTTTCAAGTCAAGCCTAACCTTAAAGTCAGTGGTGAGGCTTAGGAGAACTGGAGAGCATCTGGAGAACCATAGGTTTTCCATTCATTGCTTTCACCAAAATTGCTAAGGAACTCTCCCCTCCAGGTTGTTTCCACTTGAGAATCATCAATGAGCACCTGCTGAAGTTTCCGCTTGGTTTTGATGAGAGGACATTTCATGCTAAACCGAGCATGGGCTCTTCAGATGTTTTGGACTTCAACTCCCACCATTCCCAACAGCCTCGGGCCCTTTCCTTTCTCCCCTCAGCCGCTTAAGCTCTCTTTGTCTTCCTTCCTTCCTTCCTTCCTTCCTTCCTTCCTTCCTTCCTTCCTCCTTCCTTCCCTTTCCTTTCTCCCTTCCCCTCTTTCCTCTCTCCTTCCTCCTTCTCCTTCCTTCCTTTTTCCTTCCTTCCTTCCTCTTCCTCTCTCCTTCCTCTTCTCCTTCCTTCCTTCCCTCCCTCCCTTCTACCTCTCCTTCCCTTTTCTCCCTCCTTTTCTCCCCTTTCTTCTTCCTTCCATCCTTCTTCCTTCTCTCCTTCTTCCTCCCTCTTCCTCCTCCTCCCTTCTTTCTTTCCCCTTTCCCTCTCTCTCCTTTCCCTCCCTCCCTCCGTCCTTCCTTCCTTCCTTCCTTCCTTCCTTCCTCTTTCTCCCTCCTTCCTCTCTCTTCTTTCCTTCCTTTCTCCTTCCTTCCTTCCCTCCTCCTTCCTTCCTTCCTTTTTCTCTTCTCCTCCCTCCCTTTCTCTTTCTCCTTCCTCTCTTTCTCCTTCCTTTCATCCTTTCTTCCTTCCCTCTTTCCTCTCTACTTCCCTTTTTCTCTTCTCCTCTCCTTCCTTCCTCCCTTTCCTCCCTTTTTCCTTCCTCTTTCTCCTTCCTCCCTCCTTCCTTTCTTCCTTCCTTCCTTCTTCCTTCCTTCTTCCTTCCTTCCTTTCTTCTTTCCTCCTCCTTCCCTCTTTCTTTCTCTTTCCTTCTTTTCATCCTTTCTTCCTTCCCTCTTTCCTCTCCCCTCTTCCCTTTTCTCTTTCCTCCTCCTCTCCTTCCTCCTTTTTCCTTCCTTCCTTCCTCTTTCTTCCTCCTTCCCTCTCTCTTTCTCCTTTCCTCCCTCCCTCCTTTCATCTTCTTCCTCCTTCTCCTTTTTCCTCCTCTTCCTCCCTCCTTCCTTCCTTCTCCTTCTCCCTTTCTTCCTTTCTTCCTCCCTTTTTCTCTTCCTTCCCTTCTCCCCTCTTCCCTCTCTCTTTTTTCCTTCCCTCCTCCTTCCCTCTCCCCTTTCCCTTCCTTCCTTCCTCTCCCTTTCTCCTTCCTTCCTTCCTCTCTTTCTCCTTCCTTTTCTTCCTCCCTTCCCCTCACTCTCTTTCTCCTTCCTTCCCTCCCTCCCTACCCTCCCTCCTTCCTTCCATCCATCCATCAATCCATCCTTTCTGCCGCTCTAGAGGCCAGGGCACAAGAAAGGAGCAATGGGATCACATGGCAAGGAAAGAGATTTGGCAGAAAAGATGAGGAAGAACGTCCTGGAGAGTGGACTAGGTTGCCCGGGAGTGTGGTGGAGTCTCCTTTTCAGGAGAGGCTATCAGGAGTGCTTTGATTGCGCCTTCCTGCATGGCAGGGGGTTGGACTGGATGGCCCTTGGGGGTCTCTTCCAGCTCCAGGATTCTGTATCAGGAGTAGACAATACAGGGTCTCATGGAGACACTTTTCCTCTCCTGTCCACCATCTCCCCCTGACCAAGGCCAACCCTTTTGGGGATCCAAACGTTTCCCGTCTTTCCTTCACTTTCTGCCTCTGAAAGAGAAGAGGAAGGGGAGGAAAGGGCAGGGAGGGGAGGGGGCTTGGGGAGAACCCCTCAAGTTAGAGAGTTTGCCCCTGCCTGGCCTTGATGGTCTTTGCAGAGTTAAAAAAGCGGTGCGTGCAAGGCCAGCGATCGGAGTAGCATCTCGTGATCAGCGCAAGGAGAAAGAGGGAGGACAAAATAAGAAAGGAAAGGTCTTCCGATATAGTTCCCTGTGCAGGGATGGGGCCAGCTGCGAGATGTGCGCCGTGAGATGAATAATTCAGCAAGCAAGCCTTCTTCCAACAAATACAGATGTAATCCTTAACGTAGCAAAGGGGAAGGTTGGATTACAAGCGGAGGAGATTCAATGGTGCGTTGGTTTGTGTGAAATGGGAACCCGGCCTGGGAGGGGGTCTCAAGCAAGCCCTCAACCCTTCCTCGATTGCAGCGTTTCTCAACCTGGAGGTCGGGACCCCCGGGAGGGGCGTTGCTAGGGGGTTTGCTAAGGACTATTTGGAAACAGTATTTTCTGTTGTCCGTGGGTGTTCTGTGGGGGAAGCTCGGCCCAATTCCATCGTTGGTACAGTTCAGAATGCTCTTTGATTGTAGGTGAACTATAAATCCCAGCAACTACAACCCCCACCTGGGGGTTCTGTGTGGGAGGTTTGGCCCAATTCCATCGTTGATGGAGTTCCGAATGCTCTGTGATTGTAGGTGAACTATAAATCCCAGCAACTACAACTCCCAAATGTCAAGATTCTATTTTCCCCAAACTCCACCAGTGTTCACATTTGGGCATATTGAGTATTCGTGCCAAGTTTGCTCCAGATCCATCATGGTTTGAGTCCACAGTGATCTCTGGGTGTAAGTGAACTACAACTCCAATACTCAAGGTCAATGTCCACCAAACCCTTCCAGTATTTTCTGTTGGTCATGGGAGTTCTGTGTGCCAAGCTTGGTTCAATGCCATCACTGGTGGAGTTCAGAATGCTCTTTGATTGTAGGTGAACTACAACTCCAGGCAACTACAACTCCCAAATGAGGAAATCAGTGGCCCTCAACCTCCCACCAGTATTCAAATGTGGACATATTGAGTATTTGTTCCAGAATGAAAAAACATCCTGCATATCAGATATTTCCATTACAATTCAGAACAGTAGCAAAATTACAGTTGTGGAGTAGCAACGAAAATAATGTTGTGGTTGGGGATCACCACAACATGAGGAACTATATTAAAGGGTTGTGGAATTAGGACTGGTGCAAGAGGACTTTTTGCTATGTAACTTGCAGGTGCATATGTTTGTGCATGCATTTACACACAAAGTTACCTATCCCTGTCCCATCAAGCCAGGATGCCCCTGTATTCTATTTACCATCTGAGATATGAGTATTACTTTAGCTATTATCCTCCTAAGCCGTCTTCTACAGGCATGCCTTTCGCCGACTTCCTTATGCAGGACACGTGGGTTTTCCCAGTCCCTGCAGAATGCAAAACCCATTCCTTATGGAGATGCTTCAGAGGCCACCTTCATTACTGTCTCGTTCTCTTTGTCTTGAATGGCACAGGTCTCCTCGTGGGCACGCTGGATGCGGTCCTGGATTCCACCTCGAAAGTGGCCCCTTTCCGCATCGTGCACCAGACCCCAGACTCCCAAGTCTACTGGACCATTGCGTGCGGTGAGTACACATACAAACCCAGCAAGCTCATTTGGATGAGAAGCTCCTAATTGCATGCACCTTGAATGAAGTCATGCTCCCCATGCTCTATTCCGCTTTGGTTAGACCACATCTGGAATATTGTGTCCAATTCTGGGCACCACAATTCGAGAGAGATATTGACAAGCTGGAATGTGTCCAGAGGAGGGCGACTAAAATGATCAAGAGTCTGGAGAACAAGCCCTATGAGGAGCGGCTTAAGGAGCTAGGCATGTTTAGCCTGAAGAAGAGAAGGATGAGAGGAGACATGATAGCCATGTATAAATATGTGTGAGGAAGCCACAGGGAGGAGGGAGCAAGCTTATGCGAGGAGGCTAATTTAACTAATTTACGAGGCCATAAAATTCTCCAGCAAGCATGCAAAGAATGAGAAAGTACTTATTTTATTTATTTCCTATATGTGTACCATGCCCTTCTCCCTCCGAAGGAGGTCTCAGGGTGGCCTAACAAAAGCATCATACGATGCTATTATCATAAAACAACCACAGTATCTCCTTGCAAATATTCCCCCACTTTCCCTGTAACTTTAGAAAAGACTCAATAATTTATTTATTTTTTTAAAAAAAGAAACAAGTTAAAGATAGTGTGAAACCTCTTCTTATGTATTCGTATTACAGTCCTTTTGGAAGAAAAGAATAGTTTGAGAGAAACTCATACTGAAACATTGTTCTGTAAGCAGCAAGCATTTGATCTTATGTAACCACTACGCTTATACCATAAGAATAATACAAATAAACTAAGAAACTGTTTCAACTTCAAAAAAAACACAACCACAGTAGTCAAGGGGGCACTACTGAGAAGGCCCTGTCTCTCGTCCCCATCAACTGCATTTTCGATAGTGGTGGGATCGAAAGCAGGGCCTCTCCTGAAGATCTTAAACTTCATGATAGTTCGTGGCAGGAGATACGTTAGGAATGCCGTTCCCTTCATAGTTTTATGGCATCGTAAATTAGTCTTTCAGCATACGTGGTACCTGTCAGTGGCATCTGCCGCACAGCAAGGCAAGGAACACGCTCATCACAGTCAACTTTAGGCTATAATCTACTTTATTTACAGCTATACACAGTAGCACATCGTAAAACGGCTTCCTTTCTGTTCGGCAGCTACATAGCGAACATGCTGTTATCAGTACTAGTCCACACCTCCTGCATTCCAGAGTTACGTACGGCGCACAACGCTGCGTCCATTGCTCTATACACTATCTATATACTCATTAGTTTCTGCAGGTGCCGAGTTGTTTTCAAGCCCCAAATCCTGGGAACTCTGGGAGCAATTCAGGAAGTAAACTATCATCCCTATACTCTGTAGGACCATTCTCATGGGAAACTACACTTTGAACAGGTGCCTCTCTGTCATTCTCTGTATCATTATCACTGACCAAACCATTGCCATCTTGAACCTCATTGGCATCATTCCCCATTGAATGTCTTTCTTTTAGGGGCCACTCGAGAAGAAATAACAGCTCACTGGGAGTGGCTAGAGAACAACATCATGAAGACACTGTCTGTGTTTGATTCCAATGAGGACATCACCAGCTTTGTGCATGGAAAAATCAGGGTATGTGGAAACTTGAAAGCTTCTTTCTCATTGCTGTGCATGTGCCAAAACGGGGAGCATAAAGTAGATTGTGAAATGAGTCAATCCTTTAACAGATTGGAGAGATGATTGGCCAAAACTAACAAAAGAAAGTTCAAATGGGACAAATGCAAGATACGAGGGTTGAATGAAAAGTTATGCCTCCCCCTTCGTAACTCCTCAACAGATGGCAGTACTGGTATGCGGCAGGT